ACTTTCTTCGTTTTAACAAAGTAAAATTACGAACAAACTCAACTACCATAAATGGTAGCCCAATAATAACGACAAAACCCGCAGAAAAACACGATTTTAACCTCGATAATACCATCCACAACTTTCCACGGAAATGATGAATCGGAAGCTTCACGGTGGATGTCAGTCTGTGTGCGTGTTACACGTCCACACAGGTTGTACGGAAGCCGGGGGTGGCGGAAGTTGAGCTGTGCTAAGCATGGCATTGACGGAAGCCCTGGGCAGACGTCCTGCTATTTGGCACATAGCATGTACTGATGCCCGGGGCCGAAGTCTTTGCCTCGCAATGCATAGTGAATACGGAAGCCGCCTTATCGATATGACCGCTGCTTACGCAGTGGCATGCTTATGCAGCGTAATACCGATATGACTCGGATATGACGTGTCTTTATGACACTGATCCGAGACTGGAAAAACTCTGATCCGTAAAAAAAAAAAAAAAAAAAAAAAAAAAAAAAAAAAAACTCGTTTCAATGCAATAATTACGACTTTACGTAATTCGTAACTTCCCTTCCGTAACTCCAAATAATTACGTAATTCCGTAAATCCGTAAATTACGTGCAAGCCTAGTTTTGTTTTAAAAGGCCCGCGAGTAAATGCTTTTTAGACATCTTAAATCGCAAAATTCCGCGGGGTTGGGTTTCATTTAGTTGAGTCGCCTTCGAAGATTTTTCCAATTATTGGTAAATACGAACCGAGAGGTATAGTCGGACAAATTGTCACACATCTTGGATTGAATACTTTGCGGAATTGAGAATCGTAGTCTTCGGGATTTTAAGGCAGACCCTGGGATTTTTTCAACGGCCGTATCTTAAAAATAATCTTAAGTGGAAGTTAGTGCTGAAAAAATAGCTCAAAGTTTACAAAGCCTAAGATTGCAAAAATCCGAATCCGATCTATTTATAATCGCATATTTTATGTCCACAGATTGCCGTGGAGGTTTTTTGTAGTGGAAGTGCTTTCATTTAACCGTTAGTAGGCCTATAGGCAAAAGCTAGTTACGATGATCACAATTAAATTAGGATGGAAAGACATTTTAAATGCTTGCATCAGCCATGAATTGAATATTTTACGCATATACTTTGATACTCGATTCGTTTTGGACAACCCTGCCTCGACTTATTTTAGCCTTCAAAAAAACGTTATGAAAGTGGGCCACGATATGAAAAAGGTTGAGAAGCACTGGGCTACATAACGGTTGAAGTTTTAGCAACCGCTCAAACAATTTATCCCTTAGACACATTTTTAAGCGTAGTGGTGAGCATTAGATCGTTTTTTTTTTTTTATATAGATTTGCTAGCTATTTGTCAGTTTTTTGTTACCGAAATTTAGGTTTAAATGGAATACTACTCATTTTGTTTACCCGCTTTCATTTAGTATAGCTGCGGAATTCAAAAATCATTCCCTATGAAGGAGCGACAAAAATGGCTAAAATTCGCTATAGTAGTTTTAGGGACAGGTGATCAAATATATTGAATCCAAATAAGTATGAACTTGCCATTAGTTTGAAAATATTCACCCGAGCATGTATGGTGTTGGGGAGCTTCCAGCAGATCATGTATTCCGTTTTAGTGACTAAGTCAATCGTCATCTGTTCAATGACATTATTGTTTATTGTGTACAAGTCACTTTGTCTCAGGAATGTTCAGTTAAAAAATGAAAAAGAAGTAGCCTTCAAATTCGCCTTTCTTTCTCGTCTTATGTTTCCAAACCTTCCCTCGGTAAATCTGACCACGTTTTTTGCATTCACTTTCTAAAACAAGCATCATGTCATTATTCTCCGTTCCATCGAACGGCTTAGGGGAATAAGCGGCATTAACTGAATTTTTTAGTGATATGCCAGGACTGACATATTTTCTCTACGCGATGTACAAGGGAGAAACTGCGCTATAGACGACGAAAACTTGCTTTGGAAAATTCTTTTCCAAACCTCCTCTTGTTAATTCAGACCATGTTATTTTATGTTTCATGTTGAGTTATAAACAAGCACTATAGCATGCCATGATTTTCCAATAAGCCTCTTGTGTTTTACAAGAGAATACAGAGAATTCTTTCGTGCTATGTCCCGGGCACTGCGCTTCGGAGGTCGCGCACTGGATTCACTTCATACAGAAGAGTTTACTTCTCATCAACCGGTGCCCGTGCCATCACACCGGTGCAGACTGTAACCACATTCTGTGTAGTGATATTCTGTGGAGTGTGCTGCGGCGTGAGTTAACGAAATATGTCTTTTAAATGCTATGGGCGCAATGCATTTTTCAAAAACAAGCAATTATTCTTGGAAGCTAGAAATGTAGAAAAACTCGAAGCGACAAAAAATGCAGAGTCAACAAAGGATTGTATTGCTGCACAAGAAATTGAATTTCATAATTTTTGGAAATTAAATAATGATATATTAAACAACGGCAAGTATTTCTCATCGAATTCAATAGGCCCGAAATTACATATATCCAGCAATTATGCTCAGTCTTGAATCAAATTGAAATGATCTTACGATTTTCAAATTGCCAAGCCCATCTCCTTGACTTATATATATACTACAAGTCTAACCGTTTTTCATGATTGTCCCCGATTTTATCTATTAACTGCTAAACTATAAACAAATGGGACCTCCAGAAGTATGTGCACCAAGATGGCGCACAACCTGAACATAGTATCTGTACCACAGTGGTTCTCAAACTTCCTGGTATTGCGACGCCCACCAAAAAATATGATCAAGTTGCGACTCCCCGTGAAGAACGTCTTGCTTGATACCTTTTAATTAAAGACCTAAAAGACCTTTTCCGGTGTGCCGCGAGACGATGCCAGGTGTGCCGCACAGGAATTGCAACTTTTCTCTTCTTCTTACAAATTATTTTTTATCTTTTGTTAATTTTGCGTTAGTCTACCACTCTACTCTACTAACGTAAAGTTTACCTGCTTTTACGTTAGCTTGAGCGACCCCAATTCAAATTCCTGACACCCCCACTGTGAATTTGTGACGTAACAATGAGTAGGCCTATATGGCAATCTTGTATATTGTAAAGCAGGCCTGCCCAACCTTTTTGGTCTCGCGGGCCACTTTCACATGGCGAAATTCGTTGCGGGCCGCAAACGATTATACCAAACATTAATACCAGCTAATTCCTAATTTTGGTAATTTACATAATACATAAAAGGCAAGTTCATTTACATGAAATCAATCAAGTTAATAATTGCTTTCTGGTTACTGGGTAGGGCTGGCAAATTATTCGAATATCAAGTCGAATATTATCATAATTATCAATTTCATCAGAATTATTGACAGATACTCAGTTACGACTAGGGCTGGGCATTTCGAATCGAATATTCGAATCGAATCGAATAGTAAATTATTCGAATCGGTTGAGAGCAAATTTTCGAATTGCCGCCATCTTGTTTTACTCTTTCCGCCAATGGTCGAGGTAAATTTCTCAATTTTTTATCATTAAAGCCATATTTTTTCAACACAATTCTGACATATGACTCTTTTCTGTATTGAGGTATTGATGAAAACATTTTTTTTTATTGTCAGTGATGTATTCTATGTTTCCAGTAATTTATGTGTCTGGAGCACCTAAAATGATAAGAAAGTTACATACAATTTCATACCTTCCAAGTATTCGAGATTCGATTCGATTCGAAAAAATTATTCGATTCGATTCTGAAATCATCAGGTATTCGAAAAGGCCCAGCCCTAGTTACGACATTTCCGAAATTCTATTTAACACCAACATAACATAAACAAAAATACAAATGAATATAAATTAAAAATAAAAAGGCAACGAGTCCCGGGATCAAAGATCAACCAAAAATATTGTTGACTTTTTTTGACACGTTGGCGATCGAAGTCGACACGAAAGAAAGCAATCAAAATGAAATTAATATGCAAATTTAGGCTCCAAATTCATTTCTATAATTGCGCTCATCGTTTGTCCCCAATGATCGCACAATATCCAAAAATAAATTTCAGAAATAAATAAAAAAAATTACGTCGATGTCCACTAGGGTGCAAGACTCGACACATACGTAATAATAAGAACCGGCAATTGAATGTGGATAAATGGCAGGAATAATCACAGTATGAGTGAGTTTGCAAAATCAGTGCCCAGTGGTCTTTGATTGAAAAAGTCAAGAAACGTTAAAGTTTAGCAAAATGAATAAATTTTTAAAAAGAACAGCTGATACTGAGCAACATATTGTACCTAGCACAAGCAACGTTGGAAAAAAAAATTGTCAGAAGGAAATACAGGGAAGATTACGTCAAATATGTTTTTACTTGCTGTGGTAACGGAGATGCTCCAAAACCAGTCTGGGTTATTTTGGGGGAGCAACTTTCAAATGAAGCAATGTTTCCGAGTAAACTTATGCGCCACTTAAATACGAAACATGCCGTTCATGCACGCAAGAATATAAATTATTTCCAGCGGTTGTCAAAATAAGAAGCAAGCGTGCTCTGTGAAGTCGTTTTTGCCTAGAAGCTAGTTATCGTGTTGCAAAATTGATTGCGCGTCACGTAATGATCTTAATATAGAGCGATTGTGCTCATTAAAACAACCACAAATCTCTAATTGTTATATGAACATAAAACAAAGTTACACCTTGTATTTTTTTGTTTGTTGTGGTGTGCCGTCAAATTTTGCTAAGTTTTATAAGTGTGCCGCAAGTTAAAAAAGGTTGCGGAGCACTGGTCTAGACCACTTTCCCCAAAAAGGTGACACATCTGAAGATACCGATTAGCGAAAAAAAATGCTCAATAATATTTATTTAAACGCATATCATCATAGACCCCTAAAACGTGAAAAAGCCAAATGGGACACAGCGCAAGTCAAATTCGGTAAAACCTGGAATTATATTCCAATGCTTGGCCTTGAAACCTTACCTGGACTCCAATAGAGAATGACAGCAAAACTGCAGACGCTAAAACGGCTCTGGAATCTCGATGTCTTCAAATAAGCCACAGATTGAATAAAGAAAGATTTTTATTTCATCAATATAAATCGATAAACAACTAAACTAACAAATAGTAATGAAACGACTTCTACAGATGATATCACCTAACAAATGACGAAATAAATGAAATGACGTCATAGATACTAATTCTAACATGGCTTTAGTACAAAGGACGGAACATATTCTGTTTCAATACAATAAAGTAGAAATTTATCAGGGATCACGCTAGATCAGTGATTCTCAAACGGTGGGACGCGCCCCACATCCTCAGGAAGGGGAGTGTAGACAATTCGATGGGGGGTGAAGTTAATTAAAAATAAAAATATTTGTCCAGAGTTGATCTTGTTTCATTTACGTTCCATTCACTATTTTCAACGTTTTAAAAAAAAACACACGTTTGCCTTACTGCCTGTTATTTGCTGCTAGTTATTTTTGAGGTGGGGCGCCAGACTTCAAAAAAGAATTAGAAACTTCAACAATTCTAAAAAGAGAGCGCGGCTTGAAGTTTTATAACTACTGCGCTAGATAGATACATATTAAAGACGATTCTACTCGACCATGCATGACCACTGACAAATTTCAAATAAAACTAGATTTACGGAAACAGTGGGAACTAAGCATCGTAATAGTGGAAATCGAATCGTGTCTTCAATACCTCTATGATAGTAATAAACGATGAGACAACGATCCAATTACCATCACACGAATACAAAAATAAAGTTGGCAAACAGGATATTCATCACAATTGCAGGAAGTTACATCATAATCACGTTGCTATGGCTTCACACCTACGGCAGTGCGCTGGTATACGACTCAATAGCGCCCCTAGTGTAAAGAAACAACACAGGAAAAAATGGAACCCCAGTAGAATATATACAACCAAAAAAAAATCGCTACCCACATTGGAGAGGGCTCACCGACAAAGACGCAAATTATACCGCTCAATCAAAAGATGTTATAAGGACTTCAAAAATATGTTATTTTAATGGAAGTTCCATCTTGTATGAAAAAGAAAGCAGAAAGCACCGCTAAACTATTTCAGGGATGACTTGCAAGTGAGTATACACAGTTACTTGGGCACAATACAACCAACGCCGAGAAGGTTCAATTCAATGGAAAAATTTTGAAATTAATGATATTCCAGAAAGATAAGAATACAAACTATTTTGTTCAGTAAATTTGATTCGACATTCCATATGAACCAGTCTGAAATTAAAAATCTGTACATTGTATTGTACTGGGCATTTGTATATCGTTGTACTACATCCATCAAAAATTTAAATGTAATACTCATTTCATTAAAGAATTTAATATATATCGTAGCTAAGGGAAGATAATAAAAATATAAACATCCCCGACTCGCCAAAGAACTTGAAAATAACGTAGCGAAAACGAGGAAGGAGAATGTCGTATAATTTAATGATAGTATTAAGCCAGACGAAGAACCGAGCAAATTAAATTACGTGTATATGCGGTGAGGATTTCAAAACAAGTCGAAATGATGATAAGGGCATTGTGAAATTCCGTCGTAGGAGTAAATAATTCAAAAGGAATTCGTATAATGTTATTGTTACGAAATAATTAAAAAATATGAATACAATCACGACTAGAGAAATATTTTTGTCACAAATACTCATGTAAATACAAAATTTCATTATTATGTTAAATCCAAAAAAAAAATGATATGAAAAAATAAGCCCACAAATGTGGCGTACCATTTCTGTAAATAAAAATGAAGAAAAAAAGAAAATTCCAATATATACGTAAAGAAACATAATAAACTGATATTCTCGCCAACAAATAATAATTACATACAACTCCAAAAGAAATCAATTATAGTGGAGAAAAAAAAAGTTTTCTGATCTTCGGAATTTACTTCCGCCAAATATGACCATGTATAGCTTCAAACGCTACATCATTGGATCAAGCATGGTAATTCTAAATAGACAACTCCTTTCTGATAAGGACATCATGGAGAATGCTTATTCATTTAAGAGTTAGACAAAAGAACAAAAATTTAAAAAAAAATATTTCGTCGCGGTTAGATATAACTATTTCTGTTCACAATGTTAGAAATCGTAAGTTCAGAGTTTTGCATTTTTCGAGGACTTCAACCCAAAAGAGTAAAAATTTGAGAACATGAGAACATTTTTATTTTTAAACTTCACAACTTTTTATTGAAATGGGTAATGGATTTTGCCTCAAAAAATGATAAGATGAAGTTATTCTTGTAATATTTTCAAAATAATTTTTTATTTTATTTCAAGATTTGCTTTTTCGTCTTGAAACCCTCGATTACAAACAAAATCTTGAATATTCGACCAAGTTTATCAAATTCTCATCGATTATCAATTTGTCTATTGACACCTCCTCCGAGACTGAAATTTCCGTATACCGTAAATAAATACCATATCAAGACTATATACAATATCCTCCAAGGAAAGTGTTGTTAGTATCTAGTACTATTTGAGTGAAAGAGAGTTTGAACATCAGCAAAACAGTGGTACGATTGTGACATCATCAAGCATATGACGTCAATGTGGCGTGCTGGATTAGTAAAAATTCGTTCTGTTGCTCAGTCGTTATACAATCTGAAATAAAATTTAAAAATTAGTTCGAAATATTTAATTTAAATGAAGTCGGTTTGATTCACGAAAGATCCACATACGATTAATATCCGTTGACTTCTGGAAGAAGGCTTGCTCTTGAAAAATCGATACGCATGGATGAGCGATCATTCAGGCGTGTCCCTTGAAGTGAAGACATCGCGAATGACGCTGTTCCAACATCCTGAAGAGAAAGATCAATTGCTTAAATCTACGCCGAAAAAATTTGCATTTTCTTTGCTCTAGGATAAATAGGACTTCATAGGATAAAATTTCATTCTATCCAATAAAATAAAATTCAATAAGACGGATTAGTTGCGCGATGACTACTTTTTTTTATAAGGCATGGGAATGGATAGCAATTGTATGGACCTGGACGGAAGAGGCAGCTGCTAGAGGCCATGGGTTTCGTGACCCGCATCGTCGAGATTCCAGCAATGATTTATAAAATTCAAATTCGCGTTGCTGAATTTTAGATATTTTTTCGTATAGGCAGAAGGATTATTCGGTATGTATAGGAACCCACTATACAATAAGGCATTGGTCCCAGCCTTTTTCGATCTATTACTCCCTTTACACATTTTGAATTTTATTCTATTTTTGCTATACATAAAAATCCTGGTTATTTTTTAATTCAAATTATTTTTAGCTAGCGCGCAAATCACCCACTATTTGAATCAGGGGTCTCCAATTCAAAACACTTTTTGAAATTTATTGACCACGCGGGCCGCAAACCAAGAAATTAGGTACAAAAATGGGTATCTGAATGTACTGTGTTGAAATTACACTTGAATCCTACAGCAAACGAGTCATGAAGCATATTCATTCACTCGAGCTTGTGCTTACTTGTGGATATTTGGTCTCGATGTTTGGCCTTATTTTGCGTTGGTTTGCTAGTCCCAATACAACATGCAAATGCTCGTCCGTTAGTCGTGTGCGGAGGGCTAACTATCATACTTGAAATAAAAAACTGCTCGCAAATATAAGAACTGTCAAACATTGCAGGTGTGCGACGTGAATGTGCAATTAGCTTTGCAAACCTTTCTTCGGGCAAAATGGACTGGCCGAAACTCGTTTATTTTGTCACAATGAACATGCGAAATTATTGAAATTATAATTGAATTATAACCATAGAATAAAAAATAAACATGGATAATGAGGAAATGTTTTTGCTTCGTACCAGACCGGACTCTTGACGAGAAATAACACGATATACCATACTAATAGTTGACATCCTACTATTATAGTTTTTTTGGGGAAAATCCTAACCATAATGTGTTTCTATTTATGCTAAATGCTATTATTATGAGTAAAACAATATCAAATACAAAGTAATATTTTCAGTATTTCCTCCCGTAAGCAAACTTAATGTCTCGATGGGTAGAAATTCCTCCCTAACTAGGATAGTGGGTCTAGTACACTTCATACAGTATGTTCATAAAGTCTTATTTTTTTTTAGTTGTATAGGGAATATTTGGATTCCATATATATTGTTTTGTCTCTCAGATGTAATATATGGAGTAAAAATATTTAATTAATTACTGATAAAAAAAAGTGGTCAAGATATATTGAGAACTAACTTCATAACAAAATTGAAATTGTGAAGGGACTTTATGGACAACCTGTATATTGGCCCCAGCTACGAACAAGCATTCATGTTCGAAATGGCAGTTACATTTAAAATACATGGTCCAGTACAGTGGGTGTAGGTAAAGAATTATTTTGGCCTACATCTTGTGAGCGGGTCAGCAAACTGCAAATCTCAATCACACAAAACAAATAATTCATGTTAGGACTTGTAAAATTACGATTCTAAAAAAACCGTTATCTCTTTACATATGTCATTATTAGGTGATTAAAGTGGATCGAGAAATAAGTGAAATATCAAGCAAAGCCCGGTGAAGGGCCTTCGCTTTTAAACCACAAGCATACATGGCGGGTTGTGTGCGCAAAATTGACGAACATTACAAAAGTTAAATATTGAATTAACAAGACGCGTTTCCAACGCTTTAAAAGTTGTTTGTCGTGCGACTCTACTACGTAAATTTCTGAAGTAAATTTCCCAAAAATTTAGTTCAATTCAAAACTATTACGGCGATGGACGAAGAAAGTGTTTTAATAATAAAAAATACTGAACCGTTTTACACCGTTAACGACACGTTAAACCGTTTTACACCTAAACCTTTTATAATTCAAACAGGCTTGTTTTTACGAACGCTTACGTAGAAGGGGCATATAGATGTGGGCCAGTGTTCAAACGACCACTATGGCTCACTCTTTTGCAAATTTCAAAAGCAAAATTCACCCCCATTTTTCATATTCTCACTTCTACAAATACTTCACATTACATAATGAATCGTTAGACGAAGATGAAAAACCGTGAAGTGTTTTAGTAATAAAAATACCGAACCGTTATACACCGTTAACGACGACGTTAAATATTGTTTCGAATACACCTTAACATTATAATTTAAGAGCTTGTTTTCTCATAAAAATTTACATAAAAAGTCGGTCAAAATAATATCGTATATACGAGCCAGGGGTTCTCAGCTGTTTCATTCACTCGCTCACTCTTTTGCGAATTTTAGAAGTAAATTTTACCCTCATTTTTCGTATTTTCACTTCTACAAATACTTCACTGCCAAATAATGAATCATTAGACTTGGGGTTCCCAAACCAGGGGTCGTGACCCCAAATTGGGTCGGAGTGATAAGTAAATAGGGTCGCAAACTAAAGCCATTACCTAAATGTGTTTTTAGGATTTGTTCGAGCCTACATGTCGTATTTTATTAATTCAATAGTTTGTTTGTCAAAACCGTTATCTTTGGAAAAACAGAATTTAAAATACAGTTCAAAACGGAAACGTGATGAAAAAGGATAATATAAACACAGAGTTAACGAGTACAGGAGACTGAAAGACTAAGTGCATTTACATTTTAATATATAAATTGGAATTAAATCTGCGACCTATTTTTAAGAATGGCGCTGAACCTTTCATTAATTCTTATAGGTATTACAATACTCAAAGACTGGAAATTTGCCATAAAAAGCAATCGACGTTTTTGTGGTTTGTAAAGGTGACAAAAACATGACTAAATATTTGTCAAAGAATCGTCGTTTCAATGAAACAGATGAAAAATATAAATAGGCGTGGTTTTTTATATCAAATATCTTCTAACATGCTTGAGTGGAATATGAAACAGTTTTATTTTAAATACGGTCCACATATGACGGGGTTATAAAAATGAAAAACAAATCTTACAAGAAAGCAAACTTTTGGTTGATTGTTCTAGAAACCCGTAAATCGTGTTAACATCGTTTGGCGTTATTCTTGAGTATAAACATTGATTGAACTGCATTTTTCTAAGGTAACGAACCGTCTTAAAGTTATTTCTGGCAACTTGTTTTCAATGAACAAAGCATGTCAAGGCAAGTACCGTACATATCTAAACATGGAGTTTTGAAGAAACCGAAGTTGAATATTCCCAACATCAATTACTTTGTTGACGACTTGTGAACCAAACTGGGTCGTTTTTGGGGTGAATTAGGAAGAATAAAGCAAATTATGGTCACGCTTCTCCCGCACCCTCCCCTTTTAGGATTTTTAGAGAAAATAATGAATCTTACCGTAAACTCTACCAAGGCACATAAGATTCCACCTCTGTTTAACACCCTCACTCTGGAGAAGCCATGAAATCTGAACCAAAAAAAGCAAATTTTTTTTGACACATCTCACTAGTATTTAACTAATGTGACGTCACGAAAGCGACGAAAGTTACGGCATGCCACGCTGACACCATTTTTTAAGATGACGTCACAACCAATTATGACGTCACAGCAAACGAATGAAATTTACCGTGAAAAAATGTCTTTCATCTCTTTTTCAGTTGTCCCGGGACCGAAATTCGATATTAGCAATGTCGATGTAACTTGTGCAGCAGCGGCTTGAGCGGCGGGGGCGTTCGCAAAGTTGTACACTTGCGTCCCTGGAGCTGCTGAAGTAGTGAAAAAGGTTAGAATTGTGGTGAAATGGGATTTTGCCGTGCATAGGATATACATGGACCGCGCCTTGGCGGCGCAGTCCATGTATAACCTATGCCCGACTGTTTTTCTATCCTACATTATATGTTCAATTAGGATAAGATTTTCATATTTATAGCCGGGGACAGAGAAGCTTGTAAAGTGGCTTAATGATATGGCGGACCACGACCTCTCATCCGGTTACAAGTCCATGTCAGGTATGAAACGATTTCAATCAGTTATTTGTTTCAGATGCATGGACTCCATAAATTGTATTCCGTGAAGTTTTAAGATAATGTCCTTCCATTCTCATATTAATATCTGTCTGTATGACTGCAAGGGTAACAACATTGGGTCGATCCATCAATAGTTGCATTTACTTCAAATTGGGAATTCCGAGCCTTTAGTGATATATAATGATTGACTGTTTTTACAAAGCCTTTTTCGGGGCGAGAAGGCTTAAAAATAAAATTCGGAGGGTCTGATATGTCCCATTGTTAATAAAATGCACAAGTTTGGTAACAATTCTGTCAGCTAAGCTACAATTACTTTTTTTTCATTATGAATCGGTCTTCGCCTCCAATGTTCAAGTGTATAGCAATGTACTGTTAGTAAAATCTACAAATAAGTGCGTATCAACAGATAAAGTTTTGAGAGTTGGAAAATTCATTTTCATACAATTATTTATCGAATGGTACCAACAAAAATTTCAAATTTTAGACTTATTTTTTCGATTAAACATTGTGGTAGAAATCAAAATTTGAGATTCCAATCCTCAAAAACAACATTATGACGTCATCAACATAAAAATATACCTGGAACGTGCGTGAATATTGCTTGTGGTGGTTGCTGTGGGTGCACGGGTGCGAGGTGATGGAGCGTGGGAGTGACCTGAGAGAGAGATTGACAGAGAGAGAGAGTGAGAATCACAACACGCTTGAGAAAGAGTGATATTTTAAGAAGAAGACATACAACATAATATTAATTAAATGGTTATATAAGTGCGACAATATCCTTGTGTTACATATTGTTATCCTAGAAAATTGAGTTATTGAATATCATCTTAAGAAAGTTGGCATATTTAATATTAACTTAATATTAAAGGATTATATAAGAGCGTCAATATCCTCGTTAGTGTTACATGTTTAAGATATTATAGTCTTAGAAAAATGAGTTATTTGGAATATATCCAATACGCCATAAAACACTCAAATAGCCTGAAGCTTCATCTTTGTGTCAAAATATGAAGCATTTTAAATTTAATGAGTATCTTATGCAAGTTGATTTATTTTACGGAAAAACTCGATTTGAATGCAATTTGAACTTAGAATTACTTGAAAAAACAATTGCGATGATTACAAGTTATTAAATTTTTTATTTTAAAGGACGTAGGGACAATTGACTCATTATATGAAAAAGTTTGAAACGCGACTTCAACTTGGTGATTGTTACTAATAAAATAAAATTATAAAAAATCATAAATTCTTGGATATTTTTGTAAAATTTGCCAATTCCAAGTAAATAGCTATTCATGTAGGAGCGTCTCTCAATTTTTCTCCAAAATACATACATTTAATTTTTTTGAAAACGAAATAGTTGAACTAAAAGACAAAACCATATAATATCAAAGTTTATGGATGTACGAAGAACGTTCATCCACCATTCGCCGAGAGGTGAAAACAAGCAACTCGGGGAAAAGAAATCGCGATAACAGAAAATGTTCAGCTAATGCCAGTTGAAATTATATCATCGATAATAAATCCTTTCAGTTAGACAACCGCGTTTCGACATTAGAAATCGTAATGCCCGAAACAAATTAATTTGCGTTGAAATTGATGTGATTGATATAGCTGGAAGAATAGTGTAAAATTATAGCGTGAAATAAATAATGGCAATTATTTATCTTCAAATTACATAGACAAGTGGTTCCCGAACTTTTATGGCTCGTTGCTCCTTTACGGAGCCTTTTAGCACTCACGGCCTCCTGTTTATCCCTCCAATGGTATTTATCAAGTCCATGTAAATAAGTTCTGCGGTTATCGTTGTGGCCCCTACTCTACGGCTCCCTTGGGGGGCCATCGACCCCGTTTGGGAACCGCTGACATAGACTCATTTCGGTATTTTCCGAATTTGGAGCACTATCAAGTCTTTATTATTATTATTAATAAGTTGTGCTAATAAGGTTATTGACTGAATTGCGTCCGTGCGGTGAAAAAAATGTAAAAATAAAATAATAATAATTGACTAGTGGAACATTTAACGGGGTGATATACAACACGGAAAGAGATTTTTTACAAAATGATTTGTGTTAGAATTTAACCAACCTGCAAAGGAGCGTGTAGCTGTGCTGAATGATGATGTGCTGGGATTAGCTCTGGGTATGCAGCGTATCTAGAAAAAAAGAGACAGGCATTTGTAACAATAGAAAGCTTGATAGAAGAAAAATTCTGAACATGTAAAATTTTTATTTTCTTTATAACGTAGTAAGAAGCGGTCTGTATGTATAACTTGAATTTATCAAAGAATAACGTGCGACTGTCTTTTTACTATCTGCATATAAAATATAAATTTCCAATTTTTTTATTTAAAGTTAGGTCCGCTAATTAATTTGAAATAAATATACTTACGGTTGGCCCCAGAAATCTGTCTGAAGAAAGTTCGTGCCAATTTCTGAAAAAAAATCGATTAAATAAAGACGATCTTTAATTAAGATGTAGGAATATTTCCAGCAATAAAGCTTGTCTGAAAGAATTGACATTCAGGAAATTGGTCTAAGAACTCAACACATGAGGCTGGAAACCAGTTACGTAGCTTATTATTCTATTTGGAGTATATAGGTACCCATAGTTTACTCGAAATTTATACCGCGCGTTTAGTCACAATTTGTACCACATAGATGCACCAATCATGGTCTCAGGTAGTGCTTGGAACTAAAAAGCCAGTACTTTTACAAAAACGAAAAAAGTTTTCCATTCGTCACTTTTCATTTGGGAGGAAAAAACAGATTGAATCATGGCGATAATACATTACCGTCAATATTAACGTATGTGAAATTCCTCAAATATTAGTCTTATCTTATGGAGGATACGATCTACAATTAGTTCATTTTCGATATGCGATACCAGAAGAGTATTAGCCAAGGTCAATGGTATCACAGTTAATTTGTACACGCAAAACTCTGCACTTACGACAATATAGGTCGATCTATCTGGCAAGGAAATAACAGCAATAGCCAGTGGCTTGCAGTTTTCTTTTAAAACTCGTTACTTTGAACCGGTTTTATTAGGCGGAGTCAATTTGAAACAAAAAACGTAAGAGTTTTTTTTCGCAGCTGCTAGCGTTCGAGCAAACCACAACACAACACTATAAATTAATAACTACAATATGATAGTTGAATGAACAACAAGTTTAATTCATAGAGTGCGGTCAGTACTGAGATCAGGATTTTATATGATAAATTATTCAATGAGTATATACAGTGCGATACAATGTTCTTATAAGCTTAATACTAACAAGGAGAAAATGTTTGAACACCATATTGAGAGCTTACTTCGAGTTTTCCAAATACAGTTATCCGCTTTATAAAACCGTACAGTGCTACATAGGTCATTTTGTCGACAAATTGTCGTATCGTTAGAAGTTAAGGTACTGACCGATTCATATGGCTGTTAAGTAAAGTCATTCTTACTCTGTTTATCATTTTAGTACGATTCAATTTATATGATAACACTGATCAGGGTGAAATAAGTCAAAACTTCGGGTAGACGCAAGGCGAACACACACGCGTAGATAAACGTAGAAAATAGCCCCGTTCAATATCGAAATTTAGCAAATTCATTTTTGGTTCGCGGACTTTTTGATCCACATAAATACGACAGGGAATCCGCTGAATTTGTTATATTTTGGTTGTTTTTAGTTTTGCTGTACCTATCGTGGAACTTGAGAAAATTCCTAGATAACGCTTTTGATGACAAAAGTAATCATACAGCACAGATATGATGAATAGCAATACATGACAAAAAGCAGCTCGGTTTTATGAATTCACATAATGCAATTACAATACGAGTTACATTATATATGTCCGCCAATAGTAAAATATGTTTTCATTGAGAAAATATCAGGCACTTACGATGTGGCAGAATCCCGAGAAGGTGGCCACCGTTGCCTAGGTCTATTGAAGGTGAAGAAGTGTTTCTTAGTTTAACTTTTGTGTTTGCCTTTGCGAACTCAAGACGAAGTGTATGCGGTAACTCTGGATCAAACTTGACACCCTGGTAGAAAATGAACGAATCAATAGCACGTTGAAAATAAAGCAATCGTAGTAGGGATAAAATACTAATAAAATGAGAGCAGAGTAAAGTAGTCGAACGTTAAATACCAACTGTTCTAGTATTTCCAACCACAAATAATAACTAACATAATAATAAGTAACATTACGATAGCATATCGTTGCATGATCAGTGTAATATACGAGGATTCAATTCTAACAATTCAAAACGAACACAAAAATCCTATTCAGACTCAACCGGAAATATCAATTAACAAATTACAGCGTTAATTATAATATATATAGGACTTTTTTCAGACGTTTGTTGCGAGACCTTGTCAGAAAAGTTCAAGAGTTCAACACATTACTGAACTATGTTCTACGAATTGTTTTGTCGAATTAAAAAATGAAATGTGTAGAAAGTATCGGTAACCAATCGCAAGGTTTCGCAATTACCAAGGCCAAAATCGCCTGTTGAATTAATGTCATCAGGTGTGAAATTTACCTGTAAAGCTGTTTTTGCGCTGTTGGCTTCATCCCGTGAATCAAACGTAACAAATCCGACAGGCTGGAAAAGGAGAAACACGAATTGAAAAAAGATCATTTGTGATCACTTATCGACCTAGAGAAAAAAAGGATCCCAAATGGCAAACCTTACATTGGGCTATATTCTGATACTGGAATGTCCCTTCAATAACGCAACGCAGGAATAATCATAATAGTTGTTCCAACATACAGGGAGGGTAGGGTGTTCATAGTTTTAATTCTTTAAATAGCAAAGGGAAACTATCGATGCCATATTGTGTTTGTTCGCCTCTACGGATGCATCAAGTGAAGTAAAAAACCTAAAGAACACCATTAAAATAAAACAAACCTGGTTAAGATAAATTGAAACTGGCTTCGTAAATAAAAAAAGGAAAATAACGCAAAGATATCAGCTATATAGAGCTGGACTACAGATTTCCATTTTTTCAACCAGGAAATTAGATGCAAAGTGGGAGACAATAAAATAAGAATTACCACTGGAGCTTTCCCGGGTTTGGCTGTCGTTCGTATGATGGCTCCTTCATAACCCTGAAAGAAAAAGAAAATTTCACGAAATCTGCTATTAAGGTGACACTATTATCTTAAAACTTTTTTGGGGGCGAATGAAAACTTATTTTTTGGCGAATAAAAACTTCAATTTCCATTTTTGTATATAATTTGCAATAAATGCAAAATACCAGTAAATATGAAAAGCTTTTCATACGTTGGAAACCGACAGTCTAAGCCAGGTGTGGCGATATCTAGGCTAATATTTTTTTCAGCATGAAAATTTTTTAATAAGAATTTTTTTTACTATACATTTAAATAAATAACATGACTTTTCGAAGGCCATTGTATATGGACATTCTTGTCGCTATAGAAACACAAGGTATATATTGTGGTATTTCGGAACGTGTACAAAAAATTTTCTCATAGCACTGAAAAATCGTAGCTCACGCAAGTCACGTTTTAGATGCCAGTAATAACGGAACGTTTTTGACACTTTCACAACAGTCAGTTTGTATCACCATCTTGCGGACAACTGCATCTGAATACGATCACCAATGACCAACGGTTCGACGATAAGATTTTGAAATCGAGAAGGTACATACATAACATAAAGAACGCTTATTAAGCCAATTCGCGACACAACATTTAATGAGGTGTTTCTATTCTAAAAAGGCCGTACCCATCCGTTAATTTAACAAGACACTCTCCCATACACAATATTGGAGTCATTGTCCAAAATATACTCCCAAAATGCCTATTAAAATCGTAGCTGCCAATTAGTTGAAATATACAATGGGACACCTGGATAGTTATATTGTATACTTGGTGCCTAATAGTCTACTGGTATAATAGGAGTATTTTTGTATTTCGTGGGATAAAATACAAAACATAAAATTTCCTGGGAGGCTTTACAGTTGAAAAGGAAATTCTCTAGACTTCGGATATAATAAAAATAATTTTATATGCACGACTTTATTGTTGACCCCGGCAAAGGTCATGTTTCGCTCATCATTTAATTTTGTTAGCTCTTCTTCCCGCGGGAAAAAGTACGGAAACAAATTGACATATAAACATCGTGGATGCCATTACCTGTACTTGGCTGAACAACTACTTCGGCCCCAAAAAAAGAAAATACCGAGTTAAAGGAAAATACTGGAATATTTAATACTTTAACTGACAAATAATGACTCCTGTTGAAAGAAAAGTGCAGTGACGCACTGTATCCCCAGCCATGTCATTAAAGCACTACCCCCTGTGACCGGTATTTGGCCAATCCCCCAATTATGCAAAATCCAAAAATTGTGTGTGATTCAAAAATACTTCCAACGAATAATCATGTGAATGAAAGAATTCACGCCGAGCTCAGAAATAAACTCAGTTCAATAACAATCACCAAACTTCTATGGGCAAGCTTGTACTTGCCTTTATAAAGCGTTTTTTCGCTGGATATTTGTCCTGTCGTCAGTGGTTTGTCCAAAAAGATCAATCGAGAAAACGGGCTCCCTTCGCCACATAGAGCAATAACACTATGATAGGATTTACTTATTTATTCCGGGGGAAAGGAGAGTCGATAAGACGGCTTAATCATATAACGAACCACGGCCTCTCTTCCCGTTACCACTTCAAGTCGGGTATGGGATTAGTTAACCAGTTATTTGTTTTCGGAAGCATGGACTTGATGGCGGATAACGCTGTAACCGACCAGCGGTTACGTGAACCACCCTACGGTGGCGAGGAGTCCAGCAATCCTCTCCAACTTGACTATCCTGGCATGGAATTCGAACCTGCGAACCCAGGCAGGGTAATCAGAGTTGCGGTGGCGAGCGTATTCCTAAAGCTTAGCACGATGTGCCACACCGCCGAGCCAATTACCCGGAAAAGTATAATGTAACCATCCTTATCAGAAAACGATTTTACGGCATCCCTTTATTACCCAAGACGAGCTCATCCTGCTTGTTATTTTATCATTTATGTAAGAAACAACCTTACCTTATAACTCCTGAAGAGAAGATAGAGTTCTCGTTTTTTAGCATCTGCGGGCAATCCACTTACGAATAATGTTCGGACCTGAAAAAAGAAAATAATAGTTTGAATCTACTATAGAACAACCCAAGCACTTGCACAAATTAAGATGACGACTTTCTAACAAAAACACGCAACAAGAATCAAAGCCAAGATCATCAAATAATTTTGGGCACCGCAGATATATACTACCTAAAATTAGCAAAAAGCTAAGTGCGCCAGTGCGCTAATACAAATAAATAACGCGTTTTAAATCATAACATAAACACTGGAAGCGGGCAGGACTACTATGCATTAAAATACTAATGATTACTACAAGAAAAACACAAATGCATGGACGGTGAATTCGCACCGACGAACATTTTCTAATTATTCCCATAGTAAGGGAGCACACACTCTCAAGAACTATAGCAAAATAATCAAATTTTCAGTATAATTATTTTAAATTTTGATGGTCATTACACGATGCCGCAAGTGTGGTATGGGGCATCAGACGGACAGTCACCAAACTAGACAAATTATGGTTTATAATACTGTTACGAACTGGCTATACTTTGATTTATTAACAAAACTTGATACAGTTTTTCGATAACAGGACTGACTATGTTTATAAATGAATTTTCGTGCGTTTGGCCTTTTATAATATGTAACGTTAGGTTGATCCTTTGATATTTAATACCATGACCATAACTCATGAATTTTTAATAAGATTGGAAACCAAAACATGTATTAACATGATGCTGACTCTTTATATCGGAGATAAATATTACACCAAGAGAATGAATGAAACTAACACGATTAAAATAGTTCCGAGTATATTATATTCGTCTGGTTGTTTTCCAAATGTTATTGTTTCGATAAGGATATGTTATTGTTTTTCGGGTGTGCAAGGGTGAAAAAAAATTAGAAAAGAAGTTTTTAAATTACTTCTACAAAAATAAAGAAAATTTGTTAACATTTCAATTTTGTTTATGTATGATTGTACCCAAAATTTCAGTTATCTAGGACGCTTTGCCAAAAGGGTTGGGTTGGGGTGATAATACAGCCATTTCCGGATATCTTCAACAGAAAAAAAACACCCCACAATGGTAGAGAATTGTTGATATCTCCTACCGCTTATTTTCTGATTCTAATTTTCTCGGTCTAATTTAGGTTGGATTGCCCGCCCCTCTTTTAAAAAAGTTCATAAAAAATATTTCATATTTCTATAAATTTAGCCTGTTCAATAATTGTTTCATCACTTTCATTACATTTTGGCGTTGGGGCAATACAGAATAGTACGGGACTTTTAAAATAAAATCGTTATGGGATATTATTTTGAATTTTACGTTAGTGTTCAATATACAATCAAATAAGATAACAATTCATTTCAAACGCGGCGCATTTTATCCGTTATTGGTATTTCTTAACGTTGCTAGAATAGGGACTTTAAAACATGATGTATTACATCGGCAAATAATAATTTCATTTTTGTATGACATCGGTAAATATTATACCTTGTTCTTGAGAAACGAGTAATATGCGTGCGTTGGAGATTCTGTCAATATTTGACATCAGTTTCTTTGTAAACTTAGGAAATTGTACCATGCTTGGCGGTAAGACCACTGGCCAAACAATTTTTATGTCCAGTTGTCCAGAGTGACGTTCTAAACCAGCGATACAGGGCTTGGCAGAACGAAAGGTGTGTCTTTCCTGGCCGGCCTGATGTCGGAAGAAAGTTGATAAAATATTCTCCAAGGTGTGAAGAGATTGGTGACAATTATAGGCGCCAGAGCACACTGATCGAATAACAGAAAATAAACGATATATAATTTGATTTGGTCAATACTCAACCATTAAGCCACGACTTGTCTTGCCCCGGTGGTCTGAAGAACCTTTCTCATGAGTAGATATTGTGTATACATATATGCTTTGATCAAGAGGTCACCCCGTCACGTTTACTAAAGTTTATCTAAATTTCGACGCAGTCCGAAGTACATATTCACCTAATGTGAATCAACATATATTAATTAAATTGGTTACTATTTGTAAATGAAACTCAAAAGTGAGATACCTACTCGAAAATTCCATTTGTCACAGATTTATTTGCCTGTTTCAGAGCATGTTGATGTATATAAATTATAAGGGTTTAAAAGCAAACTTGAGCAATGTATCATGATTCATAAGCGTAGTTAATATTACCTGCAATGATTATAATTTTTTTAGGTTTGCTTATCTCGTATTATTATTATTATTCAATTCTAAATGCGGGGGTTCTTTCAAACGAACAAATGACTGTAATAGGTTCCTGTAAAAAAATATAATGGAAGTCTCCCTTACTACCATTTAGATGTTTTTCGGGTATGCCTTCTGAATTTATTGGAAACCCTAATTTTGGCAAATTTTGTGGTGCACGCCCGGTTAGATTGGCATTGTATCAGAAGTCTAAATTAGGGACTACTTGCATCAATATTGATGAACCTTACTTCAAGGGATTTATTTCCGTCTAAAATATTCGTGGTTGCTTTTAGAAATTTAAGTACAATGGCGAAATCGTGGTAAAAGAAACAATAGATTAAAACTGTAATCCTTTGGAATATGATTCTCAAGAATTTATTTTGGATAATTTCGACTTAAAATAAACCATTTGATCGAGATTCCTCTGATATGGATTCAACGCTGAATAAAGTGTGGAACAATGATTTAATTATGGAAATCTAAAATTTGGAAATGAATATTGCGAATGTTTCCAGTAAGATTGCAATGTTCTAAGTTAAATTAGAATTATAGGAATCATCAAAATGTGGTAATTTCTCAAACTAGAATATGACGCAAACTTCGCTATTTCGTATTACACATGTTACGTGTGGGCGTGACATGCTCTACCTGCTCTAATGAGTAGACAAAATGTTTAAATAAACAAATAAAAAATTATCAGCGCGTTGATACGTATATAGCCAGCGTCTTGTTTTGAAACATCCACGCATCCGAATTACTTAAAACTGTCATGCAGATATGAAAATGTGAAAGATTAGCCGAATTCAGATCTCAAGTAAGAAATGCAGCACTTCAGATATGTCACATTTATGATTTAAATTTAGCAAGAGATCATCCGGCCCTCGATACGACAATCAGTATCACGCAAGCTTGTTTATCCCAGCTACAATCTAATCTGCGTACAACCCCACTTTGGCACTTTAGTTAAAAGTTTAAGTTTTAGTTTAAAGTATTAGATACTATTATCGGACCATATCCTATTTATACACAGATATCGCGAGGCGCTACCTAATGCATGTCATCATAGATAAAACACTTTCTTCTGGTATTTCACATTATGGCAATGGACGTAGGCCCCTTTCAACTTATTTGCCTCTGATCAGATGAATTGCAAAATTTTCCATTTGGAAAAATTGGATTTGTTATGTTATAGGCCAGTACGTTACATCGACCACTTTTTTCAAGGTACTATTTCTGATACCCTAGGCCAGGGTGATCCAAGATTGGCAGCTCCGCGGGCCACAAAATTACTTTTACATTGTTCGCGGACCACATGTGGCTCGCGGGCCTGGGTTTGGACCACCCTGCCCTAGGCTCATGTGGGTGGATTTCAGCATATTCATATATAATGAAACGTCGGACATATTACATTAGTACCGATAATATCAATATACCTGGTGGCAATCATGCGCTATATTACATTACCGTCAATTAAATGTAAACATATAATCAGATTTATAACACAGCGAGAATGCTCTGTAGCAAAAGGATCACGTTGCTATATATCAATTGACTAACGTTTGAAGCCTTCAAAACTACTAAACCATGGATATAGCATTCCTGTGCTATTTTTATCATTTAAGGCGGGCCTGGTGTATGTCAGCAACAAGAAGTACCCACTCGACTGAATGGCGCAAATGTAATTAGGCAGGTCGATAATGCGTATCCGAAAAGCAGAGTGGATGATAAACAGATCACTGTATCAAAAACGTAGGAAAATACTACATTTTGCCGTTTGTCAGTCCACCTAAAATTTAGAAGATTCAATCTCCCAGGAAATCGAAATTTATGGCATCTTAAGGCCGGAGGTCGAGATAATTGACAATCTAATGCCAAGAATCGGATTTTTGAAGGAATGTTGGCGTCCGAAAAAAAATATATTTCAGTCTACAAAACTCTTGAGGGTCAAAACCATATTATGCGCCATCTAGAGCAGGGGTGTCAAACTCGCGGGTTTTTAAGGGCCGTATTGCATTTTGGGAATTATGCAAAGGGCCGCAAACAGATTTTGATATATTTTGATAATGTATACTTAATAGCATATTTTTAGACGTGTGTAGTTTGTGACAAGACATATATTGTGATGCAATTAAATAGCCGAATAAAGTTTCGTTATTTTCTGAAATTTCAAAAGGCGTTTACATATTAATTTCTTGGTATTTCACTATTATTGCAAATTTATTTTTTTACAATTATCCAAAACATTTTTGAACAAAGATTTGATAAAAGAATAATACATAATAAAAATGACCAAATCTAAACTAAATATATACTCCTAAAATACTAACGAATGTTTTTTTTATTGCATATGTCCTGACGTTTGGCATCTCTTTTGTGCCACCAGCTTACAAATATCGGGCTGAAATGATTTTACAGTACCAACTCTTATTACGAGGTCACATGATCATCGGTCATACTGGATCGTTGAGAATGTTTGATTAGTTTCAGTAATGCAAAATATTACATTCATCATTTCATGTATAGATCAGTTAACAAAAGTAATGACTGACTTTTCGGACCATACCTATCCGGACACATTGTCTACCATTGGCACCACGTGATTGAAATGTGCCAAATTAAACAATGTGATTTAGAATTTTTAGAAATACAGAAATATTGCAATCCTCTTTTTTTCGAAAATGCCACTTTCTTCGTGTACTTTGCGTTACATTTAGTTCCTTAAGTGTTTTTTATTTCAATTATTATTTTTTTGCTAGCTTGAAGTGTATCAATAATTGGATCAAATTAAAAACAAACAAAAAAATTAATTTTTTAAAACTACTTTCTGT